GAAGATGTGGATTATATATTCTTATTTCAACTGGACAACCCTACACTCGAGTGTGTCTCAAACTAGGTTTCTATCATTTCCATAACTTAAAAAGAGTTTCAGGAACTGTTTTAGATGGTACCCTATTCAAAATGTATACAACTGTTTTAAGAGCTTCACTCCATAAGTTTGAATGTAAATTAGAATTACATATCCTACTTCTGACCATGTCCATTAGAGTACGATTCCTTCTTTCAGCAACGCCATTTTGATCTGGCGATCCAGGCATGATATATTGTGCTTGAATACCTTGCTCTTGAAGATACCGTGCAAACAGACCAGGTGATTGACCGTATTCTATGATTCTACTGTAATATTCTCCACCTCTATCTGATCTTACTATTTTGATCATTTTTCCCATTTGTTTCTCTACTTCTATCTTGTATATCTTAAAGGCATTTAATGCTTCATTTTTATGATGTAAAAGGTAGAGATACATAAATATTGAATGGTCATCAATGAAAGAGATAAAATATCTTTGACCATTTAGACAAGGTGTGAACGGTCCACAAATATCAGAATGTATGATTTATAAGATCTCATTCGATCTTTTGGCACCCCTTTTTGTTTGTTTGGTCATTTTCCCCTCTATACAGTTGATACAAGGATTAAAATTTGTGTAATCAAGAGTCTCAAGTACCCCATCATTTTCCAACCATTTAATTCTTTCAATTGATATATGTCCTAAACGTTGGTGCCATAAATTTCCAAATTTCTCATTCAAATATAATCTTTTAGTGCCAATATGATTATAGAAAGTAAATTACTTTAAAATGTTGGATTTAAATTCAAGACAAACAAATCATTTAATAAAGAACCACGGCCTACAATTATATCATTTTTGCAAATACGAAAATTAGTGTAACTAAAAATAACTTCATAACATTCATAAGTTAATTTAGATACAAAAATTAAGTTCTTTGCAAAAGTAGAAACATAAAATGTGTTCTTTAAATCCAACACATGTCCTAAATCAAGCGCTAATCTATAAACTCCTATAGCTTCAACTTGAGAAATAGTCTTGTTTCCAGCATAAATGTATTTCTCATTTTGCTTGGGAGTTCTTGTCTGCAAAAACCCTACAAAATAGTGGCAACATGAATAGTAGAACCATAATCAATCCACCAGTTATTAGAATGAGTATCTAATAAATTAGATTCATAACATACCATAGACAGAAGATTATCTGTATCTTTCTTGTCAATCCCTTTCTTCACCAGCCACTGCTTGAACTTTGAGCAATCCTTCTTCAGATATCCTTTCTTCTTACAGAAAAAACATTTAGGGAAACCTTTAATGCCTAATGACTTCATTGGCATCTTCCCCTTATAATTTTTAAAAGACTTGCCCTTAGAGCTGCTAGTTGTGAGGTGCGAACTTTCTATACCCTCACCTTTCAGTCTTTCCTCCTCTTGAACACACATGGCCAACAATTCATTTGCTGACCATTTAAACTGCTATGTGTTGTAAGTTACCTTAAAGGTACTATACTCCTTAGGGAGAGAATTAAGAATGAAAGTCACAAGAAATGATTCAGATATGTCAATTTCTAACCTTTAATTGTGCTGCTAAATCCCTCATACGCATGATATGATCATGCACTCCCTTTAATCCATGATGTTTCATGGAACTTAGCTTTTCCATAAGGGTGCTCGTCATTTGCTTTCCAGATTTTATGAATTGGGCTTCCACTGCTGTCAAATAATCAGTGGCCTTAGTGCATTCAGGGATAGAACCTCTAATACTCTTAGAAATGTTTGCTTTAATGAGCATTAGACTCAAATGATTCGAGAGTTCCCAATTCTCAAAATGGACTTTTTCAACTAGCGTACTTAATTCCGTAATGGCATTTGGTTCGCAAACGTGAAGCACCAAATCCAAATCCATACACCCCAAAGTCTAAAAGATTTTTTTCTTTCCATTCAGTATGGTTATCCTCATTCAGTAAAAGGAGACGAAATTGGTTATCTAACATAACTGCAAAATTGAATAATAAATGTCAGATACATTAACGTAAAATTACTTTATACTAGTATCAACTCATGCTAATAATCAGTTACAAACTAAAATAAATTACAATTTACCTGTAGGCAAAAATCATAACCATTCTAGTATGCTAAACATAACACTAAACATTTGACTAGGTATACTTTATAGTCCAAGTTTAGTGAATCTTGATTAATTATACTTTATAGATTACCTGTAGGCAAAATCTATAATGCATAATAATCATTATACTTAACTATAAGACTAAAATATTACACAATAAAATAATGAAATTTTTTTTCTTGCCTGTAGGCTAAAGAAAAAAAAAAACTCCCACTATTTTATTATTTCACATTTTATCTTATTCCAACATCATACATAAAAAATAAACTCCCACTATTTTATTATTTCACATTTTATCTTATTCCAACATCGTAAATAAAAAATAAATAATCCCTATAGAGACATTATTTATTTAAATGCACTAGTTGCAAATTATAATAATGTCATACAGATATCATTATATCAATTTATAATTTACAAATAATAAATTTAATTAATTCATGCAGCTGAAATTTAGTAAAATAATTTTGGGCCTTAAAACTGGAAAAAAAAAAAAAAACCAATTTAATTTTTCTATAGCAGAAGAAAACTGGGCTTGAAATCTGAAAAACTCATTTTCAGTGGGCTGGGCAGAAATGGAAAACTAAGCCCGAAACTGCTTCCTAAAGCTCATTTTAGTGGGCTGGCAGAAATATAAACTAGACCTCATTTCTACTTCCTTAAGCCCATTTTAGTGGGCTGGGAAGAAATGCAAAATGGGCCCAAAACATAATCCATGAGTTCCTATTGTAGCAGTGGCATAACTGTAAATTTTCCAAATATATATTTTATGCATTTCTCAATTAAGAAAATAACATAATATATTATGATGCACCACATAAAGTATATTAATGTCAGCCAAATGACATGTATAACATTACAATAAATCCCAGAATACCAAAATAACATGTTCAATAATTTTCATAATTATTTAGACATTTTTTAAACACCCAAAAATAATTATAAAAGCCCACACATTCTGGAAAATTACAAATCATATACTGATAATTGGATCTATCAACCAGCATTCCAGAAATGTAAATAACATCATTAAAACATGTTTACAAATCAAGTACTCTTGAGAGTATGAAATTCAAGAATATTTCAAAAATACTTAATATGTTCATAAAATTCCAGAAAAAATACGGCAACACATAAGATGCAATCTTAAGTATTATAGTGAAAACGGCGTCAAATTCCAACATTTCTATGGCAAGGGGTGAAATTTACTCTCCAAGAGTGAGAGTGGGAATGAACAGTAACAAATGTTCATCCCCAAGACCCTAACACAAGTATTTCCAGGATATTTTAATCTATCCCAAAGCTTTAAAAAATCATAACTTTGCAATCCGAAATCCCATCTTGACAAATAACATATCTTTAGAAACCTCTTGAAACAAGGATTCGAATGATATCAAAATCGAGAATTAATTTGCTTTATACTAAAAGTTATGCAGAATTTAAAGTTACAGGTTTTATAAATATTATTTTGATTTTCATGCAATATACTCTAAATTATCCTTTCAAAATCTCAGGATGTATCATAGATCAACAAGCCATAACATGCTAAGAAATCATGGTAATTCGATATTTAAAACATAAACTACCATTAACAAAAAAAAAAAATAAATAATAATAAAAAAAAAAAGTTATTTTCATTCAGTTCTCACACAAAATATCTTAATAATCAATTATCACATTAATGAACATGAAACATGTGATAATTAGACATGTAAATACTCAAAACCTGCTCTAATACCAAATCAAATACTAAATTTACAGATTATCATTATCATCATTTTGTAAAATACGGAATAATTATTTACATACTTTCGTTGGGGCCTGGTGTAATTCCTGTCATTGTTGTTCATTTCCACGAAATGACTCCATTGATTTTGGAATTTTTGAGTGTTTTTCTCATACTTACAATTAAGAAAACTGATCCCTAATTATATAATCATCACCCAGGTGATTACCTTAAGTTACATCACTTCTTCATAATAGAAGTGGATTGTAATTGTCCATAACTAAGCCGCAGTTAACATCTCGTTTACAGTCTTCTTGACTGACAATTTAACAAAATTACACTCATATAAACATATTACATAGAAGAAGTGTTTTATAGATATATTTATCATGGGATAAGATATAAGAGTACAGATAACGTAGGAGCTTGATCTCTGCTCCAGAATTCTTGATTCTAAATCTAATACATGTTTATGGCGAGAAGATTAGGAGATAGATTGTTGAGTCTGGAGCCCAAACGGGTTCTCTTGACTCAAACATTCGCCAACGCGAGCTCCCTTATCCTTGGCTTGCTAATTATGAAGGGATGCCTGATTTGCATTAAAATGTGGTTGCTGTATGGGTTAAATGCCTAGTAAATATTGTGAATTGAGGGACAATGTTTTATGAAATTATAAGGATTTAGCTCTCTTTTTTATTTGATTTTCATTATAAAAAAATTCGGAACAAATTTTAGGGTTTAATTTAGGAGATCTAGACTTCTCGGTGTAAAGATTTATTTATTTTTTGATGCATTTTTACCAAAAAAATTTCTTTCTTTTCTTTTATATCAAATCAGACAAAGCTAAAATCAGGAAAAAAACAATTAATTTGACACTACTCTTAAGCATTGTTGTCAAATGCTGATACTGAGGTCAATTCTCTTGGCTACAGAAAGCATGCGAGTGGTTCATATATGGATATGAAAGAATTGGAAACGATTCGTAATTTATATGTACTTCATGAGTAAGGTCGTGGGAATTCACCTGTCCTAGGTAGCTGTGTGTATTTTCAGTAACTACTTTTAGCTTCAATCCACAATCTGCATGATAGGACACAAGAAATTACCAAAAGCTAAATCCAGATGGTCACAACAACTCAGACAGATCAGATTCTTTTATTCCCAGATCTTAAAGTTTCCACTTCATATGCATACTATTTATCATTTGTACTTTTATAGTATATACATTACACTCAGCTTCAAATTATTCAATGTTTGAATGCATCCTCATCCACCATAAATCAAGCCTCAGTATTACCTATGCGACAACATTGAGCAAAACATATTATGCACTCGAAAGAATCAATTGTTGCTTAATGAGCATTGCAAAATCATTGGACGTTTTGCCTTTCATGAGTCTTCACCACTGAGATCTCCCCATCGAACATTGTACTTAGCAGCAAGATAATGTGCTCCAACTGGTCCTCGGCTACCATAAGGATACAGCTCTGGAACAATCTTCTTTTCTTCAAGATCCTTCAATAGCGGTGTGAATAGTGCCCAAGCAGCATCAAGCTCATCACTTCGAATGAACAACCTACGTTCTCCTTCTATTGCATCTAAGAGTAACCTCTCATATGCATCTGGTATTTCCCTAGGATACCTTCACAGAAACCAAAATACCCCATGATTTAGTATTCTGGTTTCACTTGCTAATCAAGTTAAAAGCATCATATGGACAAGTGTATGCTATATTATTTACTTACCTTGCTCGATAAAGCAAATTAAGGTCACTGCGATCCAATCTCATTCCAAGACCAGGAACTTTGTTATTGATCCTCAGATATATAGCTTCATCAGGTTGCACACGAAGCACAAGCTCATTTGTAGCCTTGTCTAAATCAGTTCCAAAATTCCGCTTGAATAAGTTTCCAGGAACGTGTCTAAACTGAACTCTGATCTCTGCACTGGAGTTTCACATTCCCACAATACATGAGGAGACTGTGACAGTGCAGAAACTCATGAAAAAGAAAGATATGCTGTTTACCGCTTGGTGTGGAGAGCTTTGCCTGCTTTCATCAGGAAAGGAACACCATCCCATCTGGCATTATTGATAAAAAGAGCTGCTGCCGCAAATGTTGGTGTGAGACTGCCCTTTGGCACAGTTGGGTCATCAGTGTAAGCAGGATATGATTTACCACCCTTGCTGTGGCCCTTATATTGACCAACAATTACATCTTCAAGTAGAAGCGGTTTCATTGATCTTAGAACCTTTACCTGAATGATGCCATACAAAACAAATTTATATGAGATCAACTCAAAAAAATTTCAAGAACTCTAGCATTTCCATGACACCATGAAATTTTCAATTTTTTTTTTTGTGGGGTGTGGAGCAGGAGAGGCTGCAGGGGTGGGTAAGTAACTAATAGTAAGGTCTTTAGGAAAATCATAACAAAACAAATTAGTAAAACCACAGGTCTAATAGGTAAGAACAGTATATAGAAGGAAAAGCCAAGTACCTTCTCATTCCTAATATCTTCAGCATCTAAACTAACAGGAGTTTCCATTGCAAATAGTGCTAATATTTGCAGGAGATGATTTTGCATTATATCCCGTATGATTCCATAGTTATCAAAATAACTGGAAACAATTTACAAACATAATTAGTTAATTTCAGTGTTTGAAAGGATGATCTAGTGCATTTGCAATATAAGCAGAGTACATATAAACTGACCCTCCTCGTCCCTCTGTACCAAAATCTTCAGAAAATATAAATTGCACATTTCGGATGTAGTTTCTGGACCAGAGAGGCTCAAAAACAAGATTTGAGAACCGAAGCACCGATAAATTTTCTACAAGCTCCTTACCCAAGTAATGGTCAATCCTGAACATCCATAAATTGAGTCAATTTTTTTCCCTTGACTCTATTAATTTTTCTTCTTTATTAAAGAGCAAATAAGCAAGACACACCTGAATATTTGATCCTCTGTTAGGTACTTCTTAAAACTTCTGGTCAAGTCACCAGAAGACTCTGAGTCACGACCAAATGGCTTTTCAACTATGACCCTTGTCCAACCATTTGCTGATGAAGCTCTAAGGCTAGCACATCTCACCACATCCACAAATATGTTTGGAGGTATTGATAAGTAAAACAACCTGTTTGACAGTTTTCCTGCCTGTAAAAAAGCATTTTAATGAACATAAAAAAAGTCAGGAAAGTTTTAATAACTAGCCAATTTAACATGAGTGTATTTTGCATTTAGTGGAACAAATTAGCAATCTGTCAGTTATTTTGCACAGGACTCTAGCATTCCAACAAAAATCAAATACATTAAATTTTGATAAGAAGAATAGCTATTGTATTACCTCTTTCTCTTTCAGTTTGCTGTCTAATTCTGCAAAATGTTCCTCAGAGTTGTACTGACCTGATTGGTAAAAGCATCTCTTCAAGAACTGATCCATTTTGTCTTCACAATTTTCCCTGTAGGTCCTCTAGCATGTTAGTAAACACCAAATTATAAGATAGTCTGTTAAATATCATAATGTGAGGACTGGTTCAGTAAAATAGCATACTTCTTATCAATTCTGCAAGTTAAAGTTTGGCTAATCATGTTCCTGAGCTCCTCGTCAGTCAATTTAGTCCGAGCATAACCGAAAACTGAAAAATCCTGGATAAGCATTGTAAATATAGAATGGTGAACACTTGTTGGCTGTTGCTTACTCATCTGACATGTTTATATTAATAATGCATGTCAACAACGAAAAGTAGAGAAGCAAACAAAGAATGGAACCTCAGGTAGACAATCTTCGTAAAAGAGAGCGAAAAGTGCTGGAAAAATCTTCTTCTTAGCAAGGTCCCCTGAAGCTCCTACTACTGTTATGCTAAGAGTAGACTCAATCTTTTCAAATTCTGCCAAGGGAATCGAGGCCTCTTTCCCCTGAGGCCCAAAGTGCTCTTTGGTCAGAGGTTTTCCATCTAAACCTACTCTCAACAATGTTTTTGTTAATCAGCAATGACAATTGACAAACAAAACCAAGAATAAGAAGACAAAAGTACAGAATCCAGCACAACAAGATTGTGAATATTAAACTGAGTGCCTCGATATAAAAAAAGCTGGCTTGAATTACAAAAGCGCAATTTGCAGACCTCAACATCATCAGGACAGAAATTTGAGACCGCCAGCTGAAACAGTCAATTTTGCATATCATTGAATCATATCAAAATACAATAGAACGACGTCACTTTAAGGCCTTTAATAAAAACTACAAAAAAAGAAACATGCCTTTGGTTCTGTATTCATTCAAAAAGCCTATTTTGAGTCTAAATTCTACTACCGTATTCGTTTGCTTTCAACCCATTAATGGACAAATACAAAATACAATATACTTCTGGGGACAGTTTCTGAATAAGAAGTAGCAATGAAAATCAGAATGTATACAATTATGCTATAATTCTCCTCCCCTAATTTACTTATGAATTCATGGTTTTGCTATTTGCAACCGCAACAAAAGAATTATTGTGAGCTAAAGATTAGATACAAGGCCGGTAACTAACAATAAACTCCATAATTAAGACCAAAATTTTAAGGCAAATAACTAAAAGAAAAGCCATTTTCATTACAAACACTACAATCTACTACTAAAACATATCATTGACATTAACAATAGCACAAATCACTATTCAACAATCCAACAAAAACAAGCCACTAAAAACTTAAAAAAGACTAAAGTTTATAGACCAAGAACTCACTGTCGTGCAAAGACACGGCATTTAAAGGATACCCATTTGAGGATTTGAGTTGAAACCGCTTTCTTGAATGTGTTCTTGGTTGAATCTGAGATACCCATGAGGAGAAACAACACTTTCTTGAGATAAAAATGAACCTACTGAAGAGTTGTTGTGTCTTGTGTTTGATTGAAGAAGAGCAAGGACTGAAATGTGTAGCCATGCAGTTAAGTTGCGGATGAATCAAAGTGAAGTTAGATTAAAGAATCAACTGTTTAAGATAACGTGTGATGAGTTAGATAGTGTTAAAGTTTTGTGTTAGATATTCGGTGAACCAAAGAGAATCTGTTGAACATTTAATATGTCTTTTGAGTTGTTGAAAAGTATACTACTTTTAAGTTTTAACATACTAAACAAATCTGTTATATGAGGTCAAGGATTTTTTTGATATAAATTATTAGTATTTTTGTTATAAATTTACAAGTCAACCAACAAGAATATCTGCTCTATAACCTATCGAAATAGTTGTGGATAATAGAATTGTTATCAGACATCCTACAGGCTACAGTCACATATAGAGTTTTTCTTCTTTTGGTAAATTATGTAATCGTGAAGGGCGGATTGAAGACGGGCTTGGGTGTGTTTGTATTGGGCTTAAATGGCCAATGTTGCCTAGGCTCAAACACGCAATCCAATATCTTGAGTAGTTGAGCACTTGATTTAAAGTTGAACCAGAAGAGGGGCGCCACTAACGCAAATCTTTGAAATGACCAACATTTAAAGGTTTAATTGTCCGGGCTTAGGCCCCGTTTTTTCACCAAAAACAAAAGAAAAAAGGTTTAATATTCTTGGCAACAGCATTAAAGTTATAGTAAGAACGGTGTAAATGCTGCGAATTCAGTGTGCGAGCACCGCAATTAACGATGGTAAATTGAGATAAAACAATTACTGGGTAATCTGATGGTAAAATGGTAAAAGATTTAAAATAGGTTTATAAATTTAAGTCTCCTAAAGTATTAAAAAGGTAATCATTGAGAAGATTTACTCGATCGTTCACTTCAAATCCTCAAAAGATTAGTTTAAGTGCATGCAAACTAATCCGAACACTTCCGATCAACCAAAAAAAAAAAAATTGAGATGAACAATAATGACAATTCAAATTCTACACCCAAATATTCATATACAAAGAGAAAAAATAATATGTAAAGCGATACTCAAAATCCCAGAGAGATTTATGAATTGGCAGAGGATGCTTTTTATTAATAATTGCTTCTAATTAATAGCCAGTGAAACTTCATTATCCATTGAAAAGCTGTAAAAGATCCTACTTTGTCACCAACCATATTAATTAGTTTAGTTTATACAATTAGTAAACACCCTGTTCATTTTAATATAATCTCAACCTAAATCTATCTATGCTTCAAAAGTTATAGTTATTAGCTTCTTGATACATTGAAGCTTGCCCTAATTTAAAGAGAAACACACACACATATATATATTAGGTGGGATCATTATATTTTCTTATGCCTCTTGAATAACTGGTTGTTAAACGATTTAAGCAATCTGTTGAGATCCCATTGCACAATTTATATGCACTAAAAACTGTATGGAACAGAATATTATGATTTCGTGTATGTTGTAATATAAAACATCTTTTTTTTTTTAGTTCAACAACCTTGTGTACCTGTTCAAACAGGAAGCATCCAAGTATGACTTAAGTTGAGTTGGTCTTGTTTCTAATTTAACCCATCCCAATTTCCAGGTAAAAACTGGGTTCAATATTCTCAATTTTCATTTATCAACAAAAAGAATCAGTCAAATGTTAGGAAATTGCAGAAATTAGAATTGAGTTTTGAATCATCTTCTAATGAAGTTTTGAGTGATGGTTCTCAGAAAAGATAGGGACTTGACAAGATGCCTGCCACAAATCCAAAAATTAAAGCTCAACCATTTTTAAATTAAGCCATGAAAATACTGCTGCTCATCTACATGCCCTACTCCGATAATGCACACTTCAATATCCACCTTCCTGAGTAAAAACTAAATCAATCCATATCAAATATCAGATAACCATCACTGAACCAGAAGTCCAGAACCTTCACCTTCAATTGGGTCAGTGAAGACCAATTCAACCTTCTTAATTGTTTATCTGAAGGCTAGAATATTCTTCCAAAATACTAATTTTTTCCATTGACCCAAGTCATAAAAAGTTAAGAAAAAGGTTAGTTGACTGACTTGGGTCTGCCCTTTATACTACTCATGAATCACGATCACACATCTTTCTTAATTAAAAGAATAAATTATAAATAAATAATTAAAAACCCATAATAACTCCAGCTTATATAAGTACCCACCATTGCCTTAGCTTATAGTAAACCAAGCTCACTTCTCTTTTCTTTGTATCACTTTTCTCTCTTAAAGCTCCCTTTCTTTTTCATTCCTACATACAAAATATGCAAGCAATGAAGCATCAAGTAACTTTCAATAAATCTAGTGGGTCTTTCTTTGATCTCAAGATGGCAACAAGGTTCCTGGTTTCAGTCTCTGTGTTTTCTATCATAGTTTCCCACTATTCATTACTCCCCTTCCTTCTTAACATCGTCAAGTTATTCTCTTTTTCTGCATATAAAACCATTGATAAGAGCTACATGTTCCTTCTCTGCAATGGGATTCTAGTTTTTATTTTTAAGAACTCTGTTGTGTTAAAAAAGAACTCACCACAGGAACCTGTTGTTGCTGAGGTTAGTACCAAAAGAGTCAGTGAGAAGAGATGTAATAGAAGAATTTCACCTGTCTTTGAGAAGAAAGTTGTACAAGAACCAGAATTGGCTTTGGTTGCAAGAGTTGCAGAAGAGAAACAAGTACAAGAAAAAAATGAGTTTGAAGATGAAGATGAAGAAGAAAACGGGTCGCTCAGCAGAGAAGAGTTGAACAAGAAATGTGATGATTTTATAAGAAAGATGAAAGAATTAATCAAAATTGAAGCTTAATTTATATTAATCTTCCTTGAGAAGATGCCTATGACTTCCTTATTTTTCCTCTTTGTATGGAGAGTCTCTGACTGTTTTTTACTTTGCTCTGCTAGCAGTTTCAAGTTCTGTTAATATGAACAAGAATTTAGCAGAAATGTGATGCAGATGGAGTTGTTAGTCTATTATAATTTTTAATTAGCCATTGAATTTTTGGAAAATTCATTTTATCTTCTTCTTAATTAATCAAATTAATGACCAAATTGATGGAGCAGACCATATATTAGTGCATGTGAAGTTAGGTTTCAAGTACCAGTTCACCAAGTCAACGACAAATTATAGTCCATGAATTGGCCAAAATTTCTACCGTCGTGTATCCATTTCTGAGGTTCATAAAACCACAGCCACAGGCGTAACATTACATGCATATCTGAGGTTTGGACTGTTTGCTTTATTTACAAACCAATTTTATTGGTTTAGTTTTATGAAATTTTAGGTGAAAATTAGAATAATATTTTCAAAATTTGGAAGGAAGTTTTAGCGGAATTTTAAAAGCTATGAGTTGTGTTTGTATTAGTTTGACAAAAACAGGGGACGATTAACTCTTTAAGTTACCTAAATCTTGATCTCATTTTCGTTTTATAAACAAAGCTATATTGTAGATTAGACAGGCAAATCCATTCATGCATGCCGACACTGGCGGTAAATTACTCCTTGTACATAATTTTATGATTTTTACTACCCTTTAAATAGTATTATATCTTCAAAGTAGTATATATATGTTTCTTGTTTTGATATTTGTTTTATTGTATCAACACCATTATCATACAGAAAATATCATTTGAAATTTATTCTCTTATCCTTACGTGAAGAAGAACTTCTTGGCAAATGGCAATTGCTCACTTGACTTGGACTTGAGAGTTGAGTCTTCTAACGAGAACAATAAATTATTCGTCAATTTACCCTCACGTTCACACTATAGAGACACAAAAGTCCAGCCACGCCTCAAACGTAATTTCTTTCTTTTGCTGGGCCCATGTGGATTCTGGACAAATGGGTCCTCGTCAAGATTTGTGTCTATCAGTTTTTTTTTTTTTTTTTAAACTTCTTTACCCAGAAGTTAAACGTAAAGTGTGGGATAAATTAGCCTTAGTTAATAGTTACTGATCTTCACCTACCACTCAAGACTTGATGTGTTCTTAATTCTTATCAACTTTCAAGATATTTTCAAGTCACATAGAGACAAAAGATCTTGAAAGACATGTTTTAACTGCAAGATGAGCTGCCAACATTTTCTTCCATTCCAACTTAAACAGCACGTAGATAATGTCCACTGGGCATCTTGATCTTGGCAGCCACAAAGAGACAATCTCCAGCCAATACAATGAGATCCTCATTTCATTTTATTAAAACACTTTAGTTTTAATCGCTTGATTATCTATACATCACTTTCTCCTCAACACAAATTCCACCATTAAGCCAAAAAAAACACCCCTTTAAGCAATCTACTTTTATTTCTCATCACTTGTTTTTGCACGCCATTATGGACTTCTTGGGGCCACATATTCAATGTTTCAGGGAAGACAACAAAATTTCTCAGGCAATACACGTATTAGAAGACTAAGATCTTGCTTGTGCACACACATGCATGCTCACACGCATATGCAATAATCTAAAGCAAAATAGAAAACATAATGGTAACGAAAATTACTCTCCACTTGGTCAGGATGCCAAGATGTTGAAGTATACGAAATTAACTGCAAGACAATGTGGGAGACAAGGATTTAACGTATTTGACCTGCCTTCATCAATGACCCGACTTTAGAATGAGTGTAGACTGGTTAATATATAAATACAGACACAGTGCTCTTTTGGTATTGAAGATTGACCAATATAAATTTTTGATCACATAAGATCTTTTTTTATGTCCCTGATGTGAAAAGAATATTGTCTTCATCTTGATTGAATTTTAGACAATCTACTGCCTTCCTGCTTGTTCCATCCAGTCCACAAGACTAACTTTATTCTTAGATGGTGTAACACGGCATCAAGTGAAAGTGATCTAGTTTAGTTTACACCATCCAAGTGAAGTGATGTAGTTTAATTATATGTTGAATATTAGAGAATAATCCCGAAGAATGAAAACGTGAATTCTGTTATCATTCCAGTTAAACAATAGAATAAACAGATGAAACAGTAACAGATGCAATGCAGACAATTACCAGTGTTTATGCCAGGTAGAATTAATCTCAATATGCTATTATTCAAATCACCTGATATCAACAACATGAATCAAAACTTGATTTTCCCCAATCTCATCCTTCTTAACCTATACAAAGTCTACTAATTAATCATTTTCCTCTTGTGCTAAAAACTACAATTAAATCGACTCAAACATATAACCATGGCAAAACAGATAATTCATCAGGAACATACTCTTCTATGATATTGAATGAACCATACCTACCTTGAGATACATATACCCATTTAAACACGTTCTTAGCTATACACACCACTCAGAGGCAAAACTATCTCCAGTTACCTGTTAACACATTTCACATTTGGTAGTCAAGTTAGACATAACATATAAGAGTTGCACTTTGCTTCCCCAAAAAAAAAAAAAAAAAAAAAAATTAAATTAAATTGCTCATCAAAATTTTGTAGTCCACAATGGTTATACTTTTCATACAGGTAAGAATTGGATTGCAAAAATAATAAAGGCTAAGAATAATTCGTAGGAAAAAGGAATGTTTTACGAAAAAAAAATTCTATTTACAGGCATCCCAACAACTGAGACTCTGACCACTGCAACCATTAAAAAAAAATTCTATGTAAACACAATCTCCTTCTAAAACATTTATCTAAAAATGCCTTCTAAAAAATGCATTACATCTTACTGTAACCAAAGACAAGCTTCCGCCATTTTCTTTTAACCATTCAGTTGATGATCAAGGTAAATACAGTAAATCGTGAAAATAAAAATTCATCTGTGCAAAAATCTAGGATGGCCTGTGGAAAACAATAAAAATTCTGTACTTGACAGCCTCTATTAGTTTGCCAATAGTAGAAAGTGATAAATTATTCACATCAGTAGTTACTACTTACTAATCTTGTAATGTGCCTTCGATACCTCTCTCTGTATCATCTTCCAGGTATCTCTTAAATTTTTTAAGAAAAAGTTTCCAAGGGCAGCTATATTGACCCACCATTTGCTACTTTGCCCAACCTATGATTCACTGACATTGTTAGCTGCCATATTCACAGCATATTCATCACTCAATGACATACTTCTGACATGATCAAGAAGCCCAGTAAGTTCTCTATGGACATAACTAAAACGTTCTCTGGATATCAATGATTCTGTCAACAGAGATGCAGCAAGGGAATGAAAGGCCTCAGCACATTGATCACTGCTACCTAGAGCATGCTGATCTTCCATAGGAACTAATGAGCTCTCCAGTCGCCAACGAAGGAGAAGATATTTTTCCGGGAGCTGAAAGCAGTTCTTCACTACAAACACTCGAAGAGAATGCCTTCACAATATTCCTGAATGTTCAAATTCCTTACATGAACAATGAATTTGCTCATCCTCAGGTATCCAAATCACAAGATACTCGCCGTCCATTTTCTTGTAGTGTCGCACAAGATATGAGCCATTATCCATTTCAGTTGTTGCATACTGCAAGGACAGCACAATTTCATGTTGTAATACGCGGAAGGCATATGGTGTAAGAATGCTTCGTGCATGCTCTTCAATAGGCATGCAGGTTTTGATATGCATATACTGCATTCCTTCTCTGGTTAAATTTCCAAAGTTGGCAGCAGTACCAACCTGCAAATATTGCAAACAAATTCAGGACATAGATCAAAAACAGTAAATATTGGACAAAAATACCTGACATGTGAGCCAAATACCTGCTCAAAGAAAATTTGCAAACATGTTTGTCCACTCAAGATTCTTTTCAAGAAAGTATCCAAAGATTGAGAAAACTCTGCTGTCATTGCACGAGCCAGAAAGTAACCTCTAATATAGGAAAATGGCCAGGATGCTCGATATGAGAAGAGTAAAGCTATGTGTTTATCTGAAGCAAGTCCAAAACGAGCAACCAAAAGATTCCACTGGTGTTCAAAATCTTCTACATTCTCCAGGTGACACAAAATATTAAACTCAGCTTTAAATTCTTCAAACTGTGATCCAAGAGGCAGAGAGAACCAACTGGATAATTTGGACAGGATATGCCATATACAAATAACATGTTTAGTATTTGGCAATTCCCTTGCTATACCATCCCGCAGCCCTGAATCTATATCTGTTAGAATTGTCTGTGGACGTCTTCCTCTCATAAGGCGGACAAAAGTCTGTTCAAAAGAAGAAAATCATAAAAAGGCAGATGAAGATTGATGCGACTGTATCACAAGAATTTGCGTCCACAAACCTGTAACGCCCATGCAAATGAATGAGAACTTTCATCTTGCAGCAATACACACCCCAACAAAATAGCGTTACCATGATTATCCATGCCAAACCAAACTCCTAGGAGCAATCCATAGGTGATAGAACGATAAGTGGAGTCAAATGTAACCACATCGCCAAACAGTGTATAAGCACGAACAGAATCTCCATATGACCAAGCAATATTTTCAACTTTATCATTTTCATCAGTTGTATAGTCATAAACGAAATCCACATCCCTCTGTGCCATAGCCTTACAGGCCTCAAGAAGTTCCAGTAAATCATTTTCCCTTTTCTCCGTAAGCAATGCATCATTTTCCTGAACGGTCTTCTTACAAGTCCGAACAAAGTTTCTCACATCCTTCTCTATAAAAGGCAACTGGCCAGGTTGAACTCCCTTTTCTAGTTCCAACACCTTAACTATCCGATTCACAGGAAACCCAGCTTTGGAGAGTAAGAGAATCCTTTCTTGATCAGCCTCCTGTATCTTCCGATATGCAGGAAGCAAACGCACTTGGTCATCTTCCAATAATTCATGGTTGTGAACATTACTAAATTGTGAAATGTACCACTGAGTGACACCATCAACAATTTCCTTCGTCAAATACAGCTTTGCATCGCATCCACATCGTACTGACTTTCGATCCCTGGGATGCTCCACATTTGCCTTTTTTCTCGGCTGATTAAATCCAGAACGATAACAAACAAAGTCTCTCCGGTAGATACCTAAATTTTGGCTTTCAGTTGAGCGTGCTTTTCTGATTGAAAATCCATTCTTCCTTGCGAAATTACTGTAGTATTCAAAAGCCTCATCATCACTTTTGAATATCTGACCCACATAAGGAGTGAAGGCAGCTTCCTGAAATGACGTGGATGACAGTGCCTCTGTCTTTACTTGCTGAGAACTTGCTGATGTCTGATCGTCTCCTTCGTACTTAATGTAACACTTCCAATCTCCACATGGACACTGCTGACGTCGAATCCAGATGTTAGTGGATGGTTTTGTTGCCATTTCTTTGGGAAACTGAAAAATGTATTCCTAGTTTCAAACCCTCATGCTGCACAAATACCATGAACAGAAAAGGTGTTATGATTCAGAATCTTAGAATCATTTTCTGAAACAACAGTAAGATATGGTTCCACTACAGCATAAGTAATTTTCCTAATTTCATTATGTACCCTTTGAAACAAAAACCACATCAAACATAAGCCTTTCTTTAATTCTCTTCTTCTGTTATTTTTCCGTTCTAAAAAATAAAAAAGGGACTTTCAACAATTAACAGATGAAACCTAAAATGAATCTAAGAAAACTCATTACTTGCAGTTGAATTGCAAATTTGCACTCAACTAGTCCCAATACAAAGGCCTTGTAAGCAAACTAATCATTGTATTGGATAACCAAAACAAATAATACAACATTCAAAATGTGGCCTAACGTTCTTCTCATTACCATAAAAAGCTTACATTAGCAATAATAATACATCAAGAAAAAACTTTGACCAAAATAAGCTTTTTTTCCAGAAGCAAATTTATGTCGAGTAAAACCCAAAAAGGGAATAGAAACAAAGTTAAAAAAACAAACAAACATACACACAGAAACCCAATTCAATTTAAAAAAAAAAAATTAATGACAAAAACTAAAACAAAAATCTAAATAAAACCAAATTTAATAAATAGCTTGACATGAAGAGAACCAAATGAACCAATAGCAAAACAAATTTAATGAAGAATAATATTTTTAACTCAGAAATGACGACTGATCATGATTACAAAGCAAGAAACTGATCACAAAGGGAAAAACCAAATAAAAACAAAATAGACCCAGTTCATATCACGCACGGTGAATTAAGAAAAAACAAATTAACAAAGCAAACCTGCGAAACAAATACAAATTAACAAAGCAAAAACTGATCACAAAGTGAAAAACCAAGTAACAGAAAAAACCCAATTGATATCAAGCACTGAGAATTACCAAAATGAATTTAAAAAGAAAAACTTAAAACAGAAATAAAAATTGAAAAATGACGCACCAGCAAAATTACTGCAAAAATTCCCGTTGAAAGCCCTTCCAATTTCTCAGTTTTTGACAATGTAGTGCAGCAAAAACCACCTACAAGTTATTATATTCTGTTTCAAGTTATAAAGTGAAAAAGATGGATTATGAATTATGAAATATGTTAATATAAAAACCAAAACTTTGTTGTACGAAATGAAAAAAATAATACTAAAAATAAGTTGATTAAATTTGTTATTGCGTACCAGGAAGAGAAACCCTTTTTTGTTTTCTCACATGATTTTCATTTTTCTTTCTCTTCAGTGCTTTGGGTTCTTCAATCCTCATCGTCGTCTTTGAAAAATTTTCACTTACAATAAGTCAATGAAAGGTCCAGTTTAGTGGGTTATGGGCCAAGTCCAGTGTAGTACTGATTACTGTTGGCTCAGATCCAGGTCCAACAACGTAGTTCTGATTCTGCCATATCACTATGTACACGTCATTTCATGGTTGATGATGTGGCGAGAATTAAACGTATATGTTTAGTAATGGTTTGTTTCTAATTGAATATGAAGATCAAATGGGCTACAATTAGTTGTAAATGTTAATTCTAATTGATCCATTTCATTAAGTTGATATAAATTCCAAGCTATTCCAGAGCTTGGAGAGGATAATAACTCAATCAGTCCCTTCATTTCCAGAAATGATTTATACAAATGTGAGAACCTCAAGGAATTTTCTGTACAAAAGGGTCAAAAATCGTCTACTTTAACTCTTGCATGAAACCTCATATAACAATGGACAGGGGATTGGGGAAGAATGAATCCATGGCCATAACTGAGACTTCTCTCATTACCCAGATCATTGTATGTGTTAAAAAATGTTGAAGATGTTTCATCATTTCTCCCCCGAGTGAAGAATCCCACGTTAAACCTACTCTTGAACACTCAATTACCAGTAATCTCCGCATGAACATTTACCATTGTTAAAATGATGAAACCTGTTGGAATCTCGCAGTACTATTTGCCGACCGACAATCTTTGATATAAATTTAAAAGCAGAGTGGCAATCACCACAAACGCGAAGATTTTTCATTATCCGAATAGGTAATCCTGAACTCCGAGTTAGAACAAATGCAACTGCAATTTTCTCACTGTGATAGCTCAGGACTTCTTCCTTACTCTCTGGGTCTAGATCAAACAGTGCAAATTTTGTCTGGGGCACATATCCAGCATCCCTCATCTTCTGGTTAAGTTCCATGAGTTTTTCATAGATCAAGTCTTTCTCAGGGTGTGATTTGTCACCAGCCACGAAAACATGGACACCATCCTTCATGGTGACCCAACTGCAACCAGCTTCTTTTTTAACTTCAGCTTCCTTCATTGCCTTTCTAGCCTTTGCCACATCTTCCCATTTCCCCCCAGAAGCATACATGTTAGCTAAGAGTACATAGTTCACGGCATTTTGAGGTTCCATCTCAAATAGCATATTTGCAGCCTTCCTACCTAACTCTGTGTTGCGACCACTTGCACGGCAGCAAGCCCCTAATACCGTCCTCCAAATAAGAATATTAGGCTTGATAGGCATCTTTTTGACAAAGTCTTCTATCTTATCAAGTTCACCTGCCCGCCCAAGGAGATCCACCATACATGAAAAGTGTTCCATTCGAGAAGCCAGTCCATATACTTGACTCATGGATTTGAAATGTTTAAATCCTTCATCAACCAACCCTGCATGGCTACAAGCTGATAAGACTCCAACAAAAGTTACATGATCTGGTAAGGGACCATTTAACTTCATTTGTGAAAAAAGGCTTAAAGCTTTGTCTCCATGTCCATGACGTGCATAACCCGATATCATTGAATTCCAAGAATATACATTCCTTGCAGGCATCATATCAAAAAACCTTGAAGCATAATCTATTCTTCCACATTTGGAGTACATGTCAATTATTGCACTCCCAACTACGACATCAGATTCTAAACATGCTCTTATGGAACAAGCATGGACTTCCATGCCTCGCTCTAACGTCGCAACAGAGGCACAAGCACTGAGAACAGTGGCAAAGGTGAAATGATCCAATCTCTGTCCTCTCTGCATCATAAACCAGACTAGATCCATGGCCTTTGGCAAGAGTTCATTATGTATGTACCCAGAAATCATTGAATTCCAACTGACGTCATCCTTTCTCTCAGACATTCTAGAAAAAATTTTCTCACATTCATCTGTCTCTCCGCACTTGCCATAGCATGCCAAAAGTGCATTATCAATTGTAGTGTCATCTACAACATGATATTTAATCACTTGAGCATGTATTTGGTGGCCCAGTTCGCCAAGGAAAAGAGAGGATGCTGCTGCAAGAATACTTATGAAGGTTACTCTGTTAAGAGTGTACCCAGCACGCATCATGCCCAAGTAATATTTTACAGCTTCAGAAACTGATCCATCTGAATTAGCTAATGCCCCAATCACAGAATTCCATGAAACTCGATCGTACTCAGGCATCAAAGAGAAAAGTTTCAAGCATTCAGTGAGACATCTAGTATCGCCATACATAGAAAGAAGAGCATTTGAAACTGAAACATCCAAATCAAGTCCTAATTTGAGCCCTTCACCATGTATTTGCCGTCCCAGCATGATCCAACCCAAGCTTGCACACGAACTCAAAGAGCTTATCAGTGTGAAATTTGAAGGCATCAATCCATCTCCTCTCATTGCATAGAAGCTCATGACTGCATCTTCAAAACGCTCATTTTGGTCGAGACCGGATATCATGGTATTCCATGAGACAGAATCTTTTTCATCCATGAGTGCAAACACTGATTTAGAATCCTCAATAGCACCACATTTTGCATACATATTAACAAGTCCATTTCCAACTGCGACCTTGTTGCCAAATAAACCACTTCTGATTGTATGTCCATGAAACTCTTTACCTTTTCTTCTCCCTTGCTCTAACACAGAAAATTCAGCAAAAGCACTTAATAAAATCACATTGGAATCAATATTTAAATGAACTAAGTTTCTCATCTCCATAAAAACCTCAGTTGCTTCTTCTCCACGTTTCTGCCTTACTAATCCAACCATCAAGCCATTCATGGAGACCACGTTCCTCTGACTCATCTGCTCAAAAATCTTCCTAGCATAATAAAAAAACCCAACCCTTGCAAACCCACTCACCAAAGCACTTCCCACATACAAATCTGACAAAAGACCCGATTTCTTAACCCTAGTCAGCATCTGCTCAAGCAAACAAGAACCAAAATCAACAGAAGAATAAGCAGCAGTTATTAAGCTTCCAAATGTATACTCGTTAGGTCTAAAGCCATACCCCAAACCCTCTCTTTGCATGCTTGAAAAAAGATCAAAAGCAGAAACTGCATCTCCTCTTTGTGAATAAACTGAAATTATAGAATTCCATGATATCAAATTCCTAGTATCTATCTCCTCAAAAACACGACGAGCACAATCACTTGACCCCATACAACTCCCGTACATCGATATCAACACATTAAACACAACAACATCAAATGCAAACTTAGATTTCAAAACAAAAGCATGAATTTGCGTCCCAAATTTAAGCCCACTTGGTCCAGACTCCTGACAGGCTCTAAGAGTACTCCCAAGAGCGTAATGATTTGGCAAAAACCCTGCAAAAACCATATCTTTAAACACCTTACATGCCTCATTAAACATCCCATTTTGTGTATACCCTGAAACCAAGCAAGCCCAAGAAACCGAGTTCTTATCCGGCATTTCATCAAACAGCTTACTTGCAGACACCAAATCACGAACTCTGACATAAACATTAACAAGGGTATTGCATAAAAACACATCATAAGCAAACCCATGTTTTAAAATCTGCAAATGAAAGAGTTTAGCATCTTTTAAGCAATTAGAATCCCTATAAGTACTAACCAAATATTTACATAAATCCACACTCGAATGCGAAAAAGATGATACAAAGTGTGGTGTATTTGATACTGATTGCGATGTTTTGTGCTGATGAGTTAAGATTTCTGATGGGATTGGAGAGTTTGTGATATGGGGTTTTGGGTTTTGGAGACTGAAGAGAAGAGGGTTGCTTGTGTTTTGTGTTGTAGAAGGTGAGACAGTGAACGTTGTAAGAGTACGCTTATGCTTGTTTGTGCATAAGAAAAAGCGTAACATGGTGCAATTGAGACTCGAAAGTGAACTGGGAGGTTCTGCTCATGCCTTTTGGCGCCTGGTAGTGTTTCAAAATGGAGCGTGTCAGTTATTCTAGTTACGGCTTTTGATTTTAAATGATTTGATTATAGTTTTACACTCACCCAAATCCAAATCCAAATCCAAATACAAATTCAATATTTATTATTTAATTTTCCTACAAATTTTATTATCAATACATTCTATTTACAAATAGGCAAATAAATTAATAATTTAGATATGAATCAAAGCAAATAAAATTTTATCAGGTTCTGCAATCTGCATGTCACATATATGTCAACTTAATAGATAGTGAAACCATGTTATATATGGTAATATATTAGATGATATAAACCACAAGCAAACGCACTTGGTCATCTTCCAATAATTCTGTTGTGAACATTACTAAATTGTGAAATGTACCACTAGTACACCATCAACAATTTCCTTCGTCAAATACAGCTTTGCATCGCATCCACATCGTACTGACTTTCGATCCCTGGGATGCTCCACATTTGCCTTTTTTCTCGGCTGATTAAATCCAGAACGATAACAAACAAAGTCTCTCCTGTAGATACCTAAATTTTGGCTTTCAGTTGAGCGTGCTTTTCTGATTGAAAATCCATTCTTCCTTGCGAAATTACTGTAGTATTCAAGCCTCATCATCACTTTTGAATATCTACCCACATAAGGAGTGAAGGCAGCTTCCTGAAATGAGTGGATGACAGTGCCTCTGTCTTTACTTGCTGAGAACTTGCTGATGTCTGATCGTCTCCTTCGTACTTAATGTAACACTTCCAATCTCCACTGGACACTGCTGACGTCGAATCCAGATGTTAGTGGATGGTTTTGTTGCCATTTCTTTGGGAAACTGAAAAATGTATTCCTAGTTTCAAACCCTCATGCTGCACAAATACCATGAACAGAAAAGGTGTTATGATTCAGAATCTTAGAATCATTTTCTGAAACAACAGTAAGATATGGTTCCACTACAGCATAAGTAATTTCCTAATTTCATTATGTACCCTTTGAAACAAAAACCACATCAAACATAAGCCTTTCTTTAATTCTCTTCTTCTGTTATTTTTCCGTTCTAAAAATTAAAAGGGACTTTCAACAATTCAGATGAAACCTAAAATGAATCTAAGAAAACTCATTACTTGCAGTTGAATTGCAAATTTGCAGTCAACTAGTCCCAATACAAAGCCTTGTAAGCAAACTAATCATTGTATTGGATAACCAAAACAAATAATACAACATTCAATGTGGCCTAACGTTCTCTCATTACCATAAAAAGCTTACATTCATAATAATACATCAAGAAAAAACTTTGACCAAAATAAGCTTTTTTCCAGAAGCAAATTATGTCGAGTAAAACCCAAAAAGGGAATAGAAACAAAGTTAAAAAACAAACAAACATACACACAAAACCCAATTCAATTTAAAAAAAAAAATTAATGACAAAAACTAAAACAAAAATCTAAATAAAACCAAATTTAATAAATAGCTTGACATGAAGAGAACCAAATGACAATAGCAAAACAAATTTAATGAAGAATAATATTTTTACTCAGAAATGACGACTGATCATGATTACAAAGCAAGAAACTGATCACAAAGGAAAAACCAATAAAAACAAATAGACCCAGTTCATATCACGCACGGTGAATTAAGAAAAAACAAATTAACAAAGCAAACCTGCGAAACAAATACAAATTAACAAAGCAAAAACTGATCACAAAGTGAAAAACCAAGTAACAGAAAAAACCCTTGATATCAAGCACTGAGAATTACCAAAATGAATTTAAAAAGAAAAACTTAAAACAGAAATAAAATTGAAAATGACGCACCAGAAAAATTACGCAAAATTCCCGTAGAAAGCCCTTCCAATTTCTCAGTTTTTGACATGAGTGCAGCAAAAACCACCTACAAGTTATTAATTCTGTTTCAAGTTATAAATGAAAAAGATGGATTATGAATTATGAAATATGTAATATAAAAACCAAAACTTTGTTGTACGAAATGAAAAAATAATACTAAAAATAAGTTGATTAATTTTGTATTGCGTACCAGGAAGAGAAACCCTTTTTTGTTTTCTCACATGATTTCATTTTTCTTTCTCTTCAGTGCTTTGGGTTCTTCAATCTTCATCGTCGTCTTGAAAAATTTTCACTTACAATAAGTCTGAAAGTCCAGTTTAGTGGGTTAGGGCCAAGTCCAGTGTAGTACTGTTACTGTTGGCTCAGATCCAGGTCCAACAACGTAGTTCTGATTCTGCCATATCACTATGTACACGTCATTCATGGTGATGATGTGGCGAGAATTAAACGTATATGTTTGTAATGGTTTGTTTCTAATTGAATATGAAGATCAAATGGCTACAATAGTTGTAAATGTTAATTCTAATTGATCCATTTCATTAAGTTGATATAAATTCCAAGCTATTCCAAGCTTGGAAGGATAATAACTCATGATCCCTCATTTCGAGAAATGATATACAATGTGAGAACCTCAAGGAATTTTCTGTACAAAAGGGTCAAAAATCGTCTACTTTAACCTTGCATGAAACTCATATAACAATGGACAGGGGATTGGGGAAGAATGAATCCATGCCCATGACTGAGACTTCTCTCATTACCCAGATCATTGTAGTGTTAAAAATGTTGAAGATGTTTCATCATTTCTCCCCCGAGTGAAGAATCCCACGTTAAACCTATCTTGAACACTCAATTACCAGTAATCTCCGCATGAACATTTACCATTGTTAAAATGATGAACCTGTTGGAATCTCGCAGTACTATTTGCCGACCACAATCTTTGATATAAATTTAAGGCAGAGTGGCAATCCCACAAACGCGAAGATTTTTCATTATCCGAATAGGTAATCCTGAACTCCGAGTTAGAACAAATGCAACTGCAATTTTCTCACTGTGATAGCTCAGGACTTCTTCCTTACTCTCTGGGTCTAGATCAAACAGTGCAAATTTTGTCTGGGGCACATATCCAGCATCCCTCATCTTCTGGTTAAGTTCCATGAGTTTTTCATAGATCAAGTCTTTCTCAGGGTGTGATTTGTCACCAGCCACGAAAACATGGACACCATCCTTAATGGTGACCCAACTGCAACCAGCTTCTTTTTAACTTCAGCTTCCTTCATTGCCTTTCTCCTTTGCCACATCTTCCCATTTCCCCCAGAAGCATACATGTTGCTAGAGTACATAGTTCACGGCATTTTGAGGTTCCATCTCAAATAGCATATTTGCAGCCTTCCTACCTAACTCTGTGTTGCGACCACTTGCACCAGCAAGCCCTAATACCGTCCTCCAAATAAGAATATGGCTGATAGGCATCTTTTGACAAAGTTCTATCTTACAAGTTCACCTGCCCGCCCAAGGAGATCCACCATACATGAAAAGTGTTCCATTCGAGAAGCCAGTCCATATACTTGACTCATGGATTTGAAATGTTTAAATCCTTCATCAACCAACCCTGCATGGCTACAAGCTGATAAGACTCCAACAAAAGTTACATGATCTGGTAAGGGACCATTTAACTTCATTTGTGAAAAAAGGCTTAAAGCTTTGTCTCCATGTCCATGACGTGCATAACCCGATATCATTGAATTCCAAGAATATACATTCCTTGCAGGCATCATATCAAAAAACCTTGAAGCATAATCTATTCTTCCACATTTGGAGTACATGTCAATTATTGCACTCCCAACTACGACATCAGATTCTAAACATGCTCTTATGGAACAAGCATGGACTTCCATGCCTCGCTCTAACGTCGCAACAGAGGCACAAGCACTGAGAACAGTGGCAAAGGTGAATGATCCAATCTCTGTCCTCTCTGGAACCATACCTACCTTGAGATACATATACCCATTTAAACACGTTCTTAGCTATACACACCACTCAGAGGCAAAACTATCTCCAGTTACCTGTTAACACATTTCACATTTGGTAGTCAAGTTAGACATAACATATAAGAGTTGCACTTTGCTTCCCCAAAAAAAAAAAAAAAAAAAAAAATTAAATTAAATTGCTCATCAAAATTTTGTAGTCCACAATGGTTATACTTTTCATACAGGTAAGAATTGGATTGCAAAAATAATAAAGGCTAAGAATAATTCGTAGGAAAAAGGAATGTTTTACGAAAAAAAAATTCTATTTACAGGCATCCCAACAACTGAGACTCTGACCACTGCAACCATTAAAAAAAAATTCTATGTAAACACAATCTCCTTCTAAAACATTTATCTAAAAATGCCTTCTAAAAAATGCATTACATCTTACTGTAACCAAAGACAAGCTTCCGCCATTTTCTTTTAACCATTCAGTTGATGATCAAGGTAAATACAGTAAATCGTGAAAATAAAAATTCATCTGTGCAAAAATCTAGGATGGCCTGTGGAAAACAATAAAAATTCTGTACTTGACAGCCTCTATTAGTTTGCCAATAGTAGAAAGTGATAAATTATTCACATCAGTAGTTACTACTTACTAATCTTGTAATGTGCCTTCGATACCTCTCTCTGTATCATCTTCCAGGTATCTCTTAAATTTTTTAAGAAAAAGTTTCCAAGGGCAGCTATATTGACCCACCATTTGCTACTTTGCCCAACCTATGATTCACTGACATTGTTAGCTGCCATATTCACAGCATATTCATCACTCAATGACATACTTCTGACATGATCAAGAAGCCCAGTAAGTTCTCTATGGACATAACTAAAACGTTCTCTGGATATCAATGATTCTGTCAACAGAGATGCAGCAAGGGAATGAAAGGCCTCAGCACATTGATCACTGCTACCTAGAGCATGCTGATCTTCCATAGGAACTAATGAGCTCTCCAGTCGCCAACGAAGGAGAAGATATTTTTCCGGGAGCTGAAAGCAGTTCTTCACTACAAACACTCGAAGAGAATGCCTGCACAATATTCCTGAATGTTCAAATTCCTTACATGAACAATGAATTTGCTCATCCTCAGGTATCCAAATCACAAGATACTCGCCGTCCATTTTCTTGTAGTGTCGCACAAGATATGAGCCATTATCCATTTCAGTTGTTGCATACTGCAAGGACAGCACAATTTCATGTTGTAATACGCGGAAGGCATATGGTGTAAGAATGCTTCGTGCATGCTCTTCAATAGGCATGCAGGTTTTGATATGCATATACTGCATTCCTTCTCTGGTTAAATTTCCAAAGTTGGCAGCAGTACCAACCTGCAAATATTGCAAACAAATTCAGGACATAGATCAAAAACAGTAAATATTGGACAAAAATACCTGACATGTGAGCCAAATACCTGCTCAAAGAAAATTTGCAAACATGTTTGTCCACTCAAGATTCTTTTCAAGAAAGTATCCAAAGATTGAGAAAACTCTGCTGTCATTGCACGAGCCAGAAAGTAACCTCTAATATAGGAAAATGGCCAGGATGCTCGATATGAGAAGAGTAAAGCTATGTGTTTATCTGAAGCAAGTCCAAAACGAGCAACCAAAAGATTCCACTGGTGTTCAAAATCTTCTACATTCTCCAGGTGACACAAAATATTAAACTCAGCTTTAAATTCTTCAAACTGTGATCCAAGAGGCAGAGAGAACCAACTGGATAATTTGGACAGGATATGCCATATACAAATAACATGTTTAGTATTTGGCAATTCCCTTGCTATACCATCCCGCAGCCCTGAATCTATATCTGTTAGAATTGTCTGTGGACGTCTTCCTCTCATAAGGCGGACAAAAGTCTGTTCAAAAGAAGAAAATCATAAAAAGGCAGATGAAGATTGATGCGACTGTATCACAAGAATTTGCGTCCACAAACCTGTAACGCCCATGCAAATGAATGAGAACTTTCATCTTGCAGCAATACACACCCCAACAAAATAGCGTTACCATGATTATCCATGCCAAACCAAACTCCTAGGAGCAATCCATAGGTGATAGAACGATAAGTGGAGTCAAATGTAACCACATCGCCAAACAGTGTATAAGCACGAACAGAATCTCCATATGACCAAGCAATATTTTCAACTTTATCATTTTCATCAGTTGTATAGTCATAAACGAAATCCACATCCCTCTGTGCCATAGCCTTACAGGCCTCAAGAAGTTCCAGTAAATCATTTTCCCTTTTCTCCGTAAGCAATGCATCATTTTCCTGAACGGTCTTCTTACAAGTCCGAACAAAGTTTCTCACATCCTTCTCTATAAAAGGCAACTGGCCAGGTTGAACTCCCTTTTCTAGTTCCAACACCTTAACTATCCGATTCACAGGAAACCCAGCTTTGGAGAGTAAGAGAATCCTTTCTTGATCAGCCTCCTGTATCTTCCGATATGCAGGAAGCAAACGCACTTGGTCATCTTCCAATAATTCATGGTTGTGAACATTACTAAATTGTGAAATGTACCACTGAGTGACACCATCAACAATTTCCTTCGTCAAATACAGCTTTGCATCGCATCCACATCGTACTGACTTTCGATCCCTGGGATGCTCCACATTTGCCTTTTTTCTCGGCTGATTAAATCCAGAACGATAACAAACAAAGTCTCTCCGGTAGATACCTAAATTTTGGCTTTCAGTTGAGCGTGCTTTTCTGATTGAAAATCCATTCTTCCTTGCGAAATTACTGTAGTATTCAAAAGCCTCATCATCACTTTTGAATATCTGACCCACATAAGGAGTGAAGGCAGCTTCCTGAAATGACGTGGATGACAGTGCCTCTGTCTTTACTTGCTGAGAACTTGCTGATGTCTGATCGTCTCCTTCGTACTTAATGTAACACTTCCAATCTCCACATGGACACTGCTGACGTCGAATCCAGATGTTAGTGGATGGTTTTGTTGCCATTTCTTTGGGAAACTGAAAAATGTATTCCTAGTTTCAAACCCTCATGCTGCACAAATACCATGAACAGAAAAGGTGTTATGATTCAGAATCTTAGAATCATTTTCTGAAACAACAGTAAGATATGGTTCCACTACAGCATAAGTAATTTTCCTAATTTCATTATGTACCCTTTGAAACAAAAACCACATCAAACATAAGCCTTTCTTTAATTCTCTTCTTCTGTTATTTTTCCGTTCTAAAAAATAAAAAAGGGACTTTCAACAATTAACAGATGAAACCTAAAATGAATCTAAGAAAACTCATTACTTGCAGTTGAATTGCAAATTTGCACTCAACTAGTCCCAATACAAAGGCCTTGTAAGCAAACTAATCATTGTATTGGATAACCAAAACAAATAATACAACATTCAAAATGTGGCCTAACGTTCTTCTCATTACCATAAAAAGCTTACATTAGCAATAATAATACATCAAGAAAAAACTTTGACCAAAATAAGCTTTTTTTCCAGAAGCAAATTTATGTCGAGTAAAACCCAAAAAGGGAATAGAAACAAAGTTAAAAAAACAAACAAACATACACACAGAAACCCAATTCAATTTAAAAAAAAAAAATTAATGACAAAAACTAAAACAAAAATCTAAATAAAACCAAATTTAATAAATAGCTTGACATGAAGAGAACCAAATGAACCAATAGCAAAACAAATTTAATGAAGAATAATATTTTTAACTCAGAAATGACGACTGATCATGATTACAAAGCAAGAAACTGATCACAAAGGGAAAAACCAAATAAAAACAAAATAGACCCAGTTCATATCACGCACGGTGAATTAAGAAAAAACAAATTAACAAAGCAAACCTGCGAAACAAATACAAATTAACAAAGCAAAAACTGATCACAAAGTGAAAAACCAAGTAACAGAAAAAACCCAATTGATATCAAGCACTGAGAATTACCAAAATGAATTTAAAAAGAAAAACTTAAAACAGAAATAAAAATTGAAAAATGACGCACCAGCAAAATTACTGCAAAAATTCCCGTTGAAAGCCCTTCCAATTTCTCAGTTTTTGACAATGTAGTGCAGCAAAAACCACCTACAAGTTATTATATTCTGTTTCAAGTTATAAAGTGAAAAAGATGGATTATGAATTATGAAATATGTTAATATAAAAACCAAAACTTTGTTGTACGAAATGAAAAAAATAATACTAAAAATAAGTTGATTAAATTTGTTATTGCGTACCAGGAAGAGAAACCCTTTTTTGTTTTCTCACATGATTTTCATTTTTCTTTCTCTTCAGTGCTTTGGGTTCTTCAATCCTCATCGTCGTCTTTGAAAAATTTTCACTTACAATAAGTCAATGAAAGGTCCAGTTTAGTGGGTTATGGGCCAAGTCCAGTGTAGTACTGATTACTGTTGGCTCAGATCCAGGTCCAACAACGTAGTTCTGATTCTGCCATATCACTATGTACACGTCATTTCATGGTTGATGATGTGGCGAGAATTAAACGTATATGTTTAGTAATGGTTTGTTTCTAATTGAATATGAAGATCAAATGGGCTACAATTAGTTGTAAATGTTAATTCTAATTGATCCATTTCATTAAGTTGATATAAATTCCAAGCTATTCCAGAGCTTGGAGAGGATAATAACTCAATCAGTCCCTTCATTTCCAGAAATGATTTATACAAATGTGAGAACCTCAAGGAATTTTCTGTACAAAAGGGTCAAAAATCGTCTACTTTAACTCTTGCATGAAACCTCATATAACAATGGACAGGGGATTGGGGAAGAATGAATCCATGGCCATAACTGAGACTTCTCTCATTACCCAGATCATTGTATGTGTTAAAAAATGTTGAAGATGTTTCATCATTTCTCCCCCGAGTGAAGAATCCCACGTTAAACCTACTCTTGAACACTCAATTACCAGTAATCTCCGCATGAACATTTACCATTGTTAAAATGATGAAACCTGTTGGAATCTCGCAGTACTATTTGCCGACCGACAATCTTTGATATAAATTTAAAAGCAGAGTGGCAATCACCACAAACGCGAAGATTTTTCATTATCCGAATAGGTAATCCTGAACTCCGAGTTAGAACAAATGCAACTGCAATTTTCTCACTGTGATAGCTCAGGACTTCTTCCTTACTCTCTGGGTCTAGATCAAACAGTGCAAATTTTGTCTGGGGCACATATCCAGCATCCCTCATCTTCTGGTTAAGTTCCATGAGTTTTTCATAGATCAAGTCTTTCTCAGGGTGTGATTTGTCACCAGCCACGAAAACATGGACACCATCCTTCATGGTGACCCAACTGCAACCAGCTTCTTTTTTAACTTCAGCTTCCTTCATTGCCTTTCTAGCCTTTGCCACATCTTCCCATTTCCCCCCAGAAGCATACATGTTAGCTAAGAGTACATAGTTCACGGCATTTTGAGGTTCCATCTCAAATAGCATATTTGCAGCCTTCCTACCTAACTCTGTGTTGCGACCACTTGCACGGCAGCAAGCCCCTAATACCGTCCTCCAAATAAGAATATTAGGCTTGATAGGCATCTTTTTGACAAAGTCTTCTATCTTATCAAGTTCACCTGCCCGCCCAAGGAGATCCACCATACATGAAAAGTGTTCCATTCGAGAAGCCAGTCCATATACTTGACTCATGGATTTGAAATGTTTAAATCCTTCATCAACCAACCCTGCATGGCTACAAGCTGATAAGACTCCAACAAAAGTTACATGATCTGGTAAGGGACCATTTAACTTCATTTGTGAAAAAAGGCTTAAAGCTTTGTCTCCATGTCCATGACGTGCATAACCCGATATCATTGAATTCCAAGAATATACATTCCTTGCAGGCATCATATCAAAAAACCTTGAAGCATAATCTATTCTTCCACATTTGGAGTACATGTCAATTATTGCACTCCCAACTACGACATCAGATTCTAAACATGCTCTTATGGAACAAGCATGGACTTCCATGCCTCGCTCTAACGTCGCAACAGAGGCACAAGCACTGAGAACAGTGGCAAAGGTGAAATGATCCAATCTCTGTCCTCTCTGCATCATAAACCAGACTAGATCCATGGCCTTTGGCAAGAGTTCATTATGTATGTACCCAGAAATCATTGAATTCCAACTGACGTCATCCTTTCTCTCAGACATTCTAGAAAAAATTTTCTCACATTCATCTGTCTCTCCGCACTTGCCATAGCATGCCAAAAGTGCATTATCAATTGTAGTGTCATCTACAACATGATATTTAATCACTTGAGCATGTATTTGGTGGCCCAGTTCGCCAAGGAAAAGAGAGGATGCTGCTGCAAGAATACTTATGAAGGTTACTCTGTTAAGAGTGTACCCAGCACGCATCATGCCCAAGTAATATTTTACAGCTTCAGAAACTGATCCATCTGAATTAGCTAATGCCCCAATCACAGAATTCCATGAAACTCGATCGTACTCAGGCATCAAAGAGAAAAGTTTCAAGCATTCAGTGAGACATCTAGTATCGCCATACATAGAAAGAAGAGCATTTGAAACTGAAACATCCAAATCAAGTCCTAATTTGAGCCCTTCACCATGTATTTGCCGTCCCAGCATGATCCAACCCAAGCTTGCACACGAACTCAAAGAGCTTATCAGTGTGAAATTTGAAGGCATCAATCCATCTCCTCTCATTGCATAGAAGCTCATGACTGCATCTTCAAAACGCTCATTTTGGTCGAGACCGGATATCATGGTATTCCATGAGACAGAATCTTTTTCATCCATGAGTGCAAACACTGATTTAGAATCCTCAATAGCACCACATTTTGCATACATATTAACAAGTCCATTTCCAACTGCGACCTTGTTGCCAAATAAACCACTTCTGATTGTATGTCCATGAAACTCTTTACCTTTTCTTCTCCCTTGCTCTAACACAGAAAATTCAGCAAAAGCACTTAATAAAATCACATTGGAATCAATATTTAAATGAACTAAGTTTCTCATCTCCATAAAAACCTCAGTTGCTTCTTCTCCACGTTTCTGCCTTACTAATCCAACCATCAAGCCATTCATGGAGACCACGTTCCTCTGACTCATCTGCTCAAAAATCTTCCTAGCATAATAAAAAAACCCAACCCTTGCAAACCCACTCACCAAAGCACTTCCCACATACAAATCTGACAAAAGACCCGATTTCTTAACCCTAGTCAGCATCTGCTCAAGCAAACAAGAACCAAAATCAACAGAAGAATAAGCAGCAGTTATTAAGCTTCCAAATGTATACTCGTTAGGTCTAAAGCCATACCCCAAACCCTCTCTTTGCATGCTTGAAAAAAGATCAAAAGCAGAAACTGCATCTCCTCTTTGTGAATAAACTGAAATTATAGAATTCCATGATATCAAATTCCTAGTATCTATCTCCTCAAAAACACGACGAGCACAATCACTTGACCCCATACAACTCCCGTACATCGATATCAACACATTAAACACAACAACATCAAATGCAAACTTAGATTTCAAAACAAAAGCATGAATTTGCGTCCCAAATTTAAGCCCACTTGGTCCAGACTCCTGACAGGCTCTAAGAGTACTCCCAAGAGCGTAATGATTTGGCAAAAACCCTGCAAAAACCATATCTTTAAACACCTTACATGCCTCATTAAACATCCCATTTTGTGTATACCCTGAAACCAAGCAAGCCCAAGAAACCGAGTTCTTATCCGGCATTTCATCAAACAGCTTACTTGCAGACACCAAATCACGAACTCTGACATAAACATTAACAAGGGTATTGCATAAAAACACATCATAAGCAAACCCATGTTTTAAAATCTGCAAATGAAAGAGTTTAGCATCTTTTAAGCAATTAGAATCCCTATAAGTACTAACCAAATATTTACATAAATCCACACTCGAATGCGAAAAAGATGATACAAAGTGTGGTGTATTTGATACTGATTGCGATGTTTTGTGCTGATGAGTTAAGATTTCTGATGGGATTGGAGAGTTTGTGATATGGGGTTTTGGGTTTTGGAGACTGAAGA